GAAATCCACCTTAAGACACACAGAGGTCTTCTGGGAAGCCCTCACAGTCTACATAAGCTGTGCTATTTAATTTAGGAGCCACTAGTCCTATGTTACTAAGTTAATTGACATTAAATAAAACTAAAACTTCAGTTCCTCAGTTGCAAGAGGCACATTTCCTCAGCTCAAAAGCCACATGTGATGGCTACAATATTGGACAGCACAGATGTAAAACATCCTTTGCAGAAAGATCTATTGGAAAATGCTAGCTTAAAAAAAGGTCCATGTTGGACTGAACAAGGCAAAATCCATGAGTAACTGGTTGATTTAAAGTAATTTTCACATGAAAATTAATTTTCCCTCTACTCCTTTTTATTTCCAGAATCTAAGTCTTATCAAAATTCTGTTACCCAAGATTCTGTGCAATGTTCCAAGCTGTTAGAATATATTTGATCACTGTTTATACCGGTGCATGTGAATGCATTCGGAGAGATTCTATGAAGGAGGCTGTCCTTGGTTTTCTTGAATTTCTGAATTCTATCATTAGCTTCAACATCTCTGCAATTATCTATATCTGGTTATTAACATGTTATTTCTACACTCCTCCTCCTCTTCTCCTCCTACCCGACCCCCACATCCTCTGAATTGGAAGCTAGGGAAACTGTGAGATTCTTAAAGTGATCATTATTTTGGTAGCAGCTGGTTCTTAACAGCCCCGGTTTTGTGACAGAGGTGACAGGATCTGTTTCTATGGCTGCATTGTCCTAATTATATTCCTAATGGATCACAAGTCCTGGGATAAAGCAATGTTATATGCTATAGTGTCTTCAGGGCAGCACTTTATGGTATGCTGGGAAACATCGAAATGTAACATGTGCAGCCAGTGCTTTTACTGTCATTAGTTAACCAAGCAGCCCATGTGCCTCTTTCAGCTCCCTGACCCACATTTCATCCACGCTCTGCTGTTTTTCTCCTGCAGGGTTATTTCCTGAGCAGAGCCTAGAGCTTATGAGTCCCCTAGCAGAGAGCTCTGTTCTGACCTCCCTAAACATGCAGTTTCACCTGCTGGGCTAGTGTTTTTCTGCTACCTAGTCAATCTGTTAAGATTTTAGCAGGAGATTCCTGGATACCTTTTCAGAAAACATATGGGAGATTGTAATTACTTTGGCCTGCTACAATTTTAGAATTGAAAGAGTAAAGAAAGAGGTGCAAATCTTCTGTTCATAAATAGCCAAATCTGTGGGCATTTTAAAAAGCATTCTGTGCAGCACACGAGAATTTATGTGCCACATTTCACCCTTGGCACACTTTCCAAATGAATTGTTCAAAGAGAAGTTATATTAGGACAAATAGAAATGACGACCAACACCAGATGTGGATTTTTAGTTAATATTTATGCAACACCCAAAGGGAAGATGGTATTGCACAATAAACTAAAAATGTCTTAGGCAAATAAGGAAATCTTTACCCTGAGGAACTGGCACTGCAAAGGTATGAATTATACAACAAAGGCCTGGGAATGCAGAACAAATGCAGGGTAGGTCCAGGCGACTATAAAAACGAATTCATTGAGGAAGTGGTGAGGTAGCAGATGTGTGGAACCTACTTGAGAAAATAAGGGCTTAGCACTTTTTGGCCAATCTTGTGTCTAAGGTAGAAAACTCAAGCCAACCAGCCTAATTTCCTTCATCTGTAGAGAGCAACAGTAGCTTTAAATAGACCATATATAAATTCAGAACTGAGGCAGCAATCTCACATTGGATAAGTACACCTTAATAAACTAAAAAACCTATGTCCCCAGATTTGAAATGATCTTCAAGGATGTGATGACATCTTTAATCCGATTTCCTTCCTGCAGTTGTTCAAGGAAGGTACAAAATGCAGGAATTGGCTGCTTCTCAGCCCTTGGAGAGCAATCTGAAAGAGATTAATGCACTGGAAGGATATTAAGACCCATGTTAAATTATAATAGAAATTTTGTTAAAAGCAACTGTATTTCTCAATCACGGCTAGATTTGCAGCCTTCCATTTATCAGGGATGGTAAGGTACAACACTTTACTGGCATACCTCACTGTCCCCTAGGTTTCCAATTTAGAGGAGTGGTGGGTGGAGGGAGAAAAGGAGGAAATGGAGGAAGGTAGAAATAAATATTTAAAACTAGTGGAGAGTTGAAAATGGAGACAGCTCTGGAAAATGCTTACAAGCTTTTAGCAGGCTGAATCCAAAGTTCTCTAGTACCTTTTATGCCTCTAAGTCTTCTTAATTATTGAAGAGAGCTGTCCATCTGTGACATTCCACCACAGCTCTTCCTGCAGAGTTGATGCACTGTGAAGAATTTTTAACCTACTTCTTCCCTCTTGTCTTTGTTAATGTTTCATCATCTTTAACAATGACAACCCATCGGTTTATTCTCTCATAATGGATTTGTGGGTTTTCAGTTATTTTATAGTTTCCCTTAAGTCTATTTATTTGCTTATTTGTTGTCAACTTTTTTTTTTTTAATGTGTGTTGTCTACATGTCCAGATGTTATAGGCTCTGGGGATTATGTGAAAAACAAAACTGATAAATTCCTTACCCTTATGAAGATTCCACTGAAGTGGTAGCTTCAAATACTAATGTATACTAAAATAATACAGAATGATGGGAGGCTATTTATATAGATTAGACCAAGAAAGACTTCCTGAGGCAATGGCTGAGAAAGTCAGGGGGAAATCATTCCACGTAAAAAGATGAGAAACTGGTAGGTTCGTGAGGAGAACGTATGTGTTGTGCACATGTGAGCACAATGTGACAGGGGAGAGGCAGTCAGATCCAGATAAGTAAGAATCAGAGCTTTCTTCAATGAGTAATAGGAAGTCACTGATTCTTTTAAAATAGGGTGATTGTAATTTTCAAAACTTTCTTTCTAATACCTGAAGTTAAGACTGGGGAGAAGGAGGAGTTGCAGGAATGGAATAAGGAGACCACTTAGAAGGTCACTATTGGTCTAAGAAAGCCATGAGGGTAGCTTGGACTAGGATCAAGGCAATGTGGATTGATACGTTTTGGAGATAAACATCCAGAGTTTAGATAAAAAGTGAAAGAAGAAGGGGGAGCCCATACTAATAATAGCTAATGTCTTATTGCACTTCCCAGGACTCTTCTGGTGCTTTTCAGTATAACTGCTCTAATCATAACAACAGTACCCATAAAGTAGGTGCTATTATTGTCATTGTCTTACGGATGATAAAACTGAGGAATAAAGAGATTAAGTGACTGATCAAAAGTCACACTAATAGTAGCAGAGTAAGGACTCAAACACAGGCATCTGAACCTGAGTATGCATTCTCTTTCTTCCTCCAGTGTCCTAGGATACAATATCAACATATAAGACCAACACAAAGATAAAAAGGACTTTGATGGACGGACTGATATGATTTAAAAACTTTTCAACAATGAGCAGCAATCATGGGGAAAAAGGATAAAAGATCAGTCATTGCCAAAGTGTGCCTGGTGGCATGCCTGTAATCCCAGCGTTTCCACAGTGAAGGCTGAGGCAGGAGGATTTCAAGTTCCAGGCCAGCCTCTACAATTTAGCCAGACTGTTTCAAAAATAAAAAGGACTGGGGGTGTGGCTCAGTGGAAAAGTGCTCCTGTGCTCAATCTCTAGTATCCCCCTAACAAAGTCAATTATTGTCTTTAATGATGTAATTCCTTTTAAATCTGTGTTTACATTTTTCCCAGGGCACAACATTTGCTTGTTGCAGATAATAAATATTTATCATTTCATCTGTGTCTACAACAGGTTTTGCAGATTTTCTTGTAAAATCAGGAAAAGATGCAGCTTTGTTTGGCAGGCACCCAAACTCTTCAGGTCACTGCTAGACATCCAGGGGGTTCAATTTTTTGCAACACTTGTGGAGAGCTTGCTGGTTGGGTGCAGGTCTCTCAGTGCGGGCAAGTCAGCTTAAGTGGAAAACACATTTCTTTTCCAAGCCTTGTGGGTGCCATGCAGCAGGGGGCGCTGCAGTAGTGTTCATCATGGTCAAAGTGAGCCACTAGTCCAGCAGGAAAAGGGACAGAAGCCTTAGGAGGTGTGGCAGACAGCCCGCAGTCCTCTTTGGGCTTGTAACTTTAGTACCCAGAGCTCGTTCTACCCGGGCCATTCTTCTGCACCATATTTCATCATGTTGGATGCCTTCCATCCAGTACTGCATCCGGGCGGAAAGGAAAGGGCATTAGCGTTCCGCTTTGCTAGGTTCAAGGATAGCGCCGTATGGGGTTGCACTAGCGGCGAGCCTCTTCTGTGTTCTCAGGGTCAGCCTGGCAGTCCTGAAATCACCAAGGCACCCTACCCTTAATCGCTCTGGGGTATATGTATGCGATTCTTTTCTCTTTTTTGAATTCTTTCTTTTTAAGTTTAATGAGGGGACATTTCTCTCCCAACACAATTCTCCCAATTCAATTCCCCTGATACTGGGGTCAGTGGTAGGCTAGGCTCTGAGCTGAAATCTGTCGCTCCCAAGATGCCTCTCAACTCTCCAATATGTTCTTTCTCCCCATTTCGGTTCACGCATCGGGTGCGTGTCTGAAAGATAGCGTGTATGTTTGTGGCAACCAAGGCTGCAGCACTGGCCAAACCTGTTCTTTCTCTCCGGGTCCCCAGAAGTCTGTCCAACTGACCACACTTTCGCCTGGCAGCGCTTGGCACACATAACGCAGGGTTTGGGATCAAGTCGGTGCTAGGCGCCGCTAGGCAGCAGCTGAGCGAGCGACCACCTCCTCCGGTCTCCTTTCTCCTCGAGCTCCCCCTCCCAGGGCGCGCTTCAGCTACTCCTTTGGGCAGTCTTCCAGCGCTCGTCCTCGTCCCGGGGGCTTTTCAGACAGAAATCGAAGGTGAAAGAAACAAGAGGAGGGCGGGAGGTGGGTAGGAGGGGCCTCCAGCTCTGCCACGGGTGGGAGGAGTCTCTAGCCAGTCGGGGGTAGGTGGGAGGAGCTTTCGCGGAAGATCTGGGTGGGGAAAGGGGCTGGGCAAACCCGGGATGGAGGGTTGGCCACGCAGGCGCTGGGGGCCGCGTTGAGAACCCCACGCGGGAGCTTCTGGAGTCCCCAGCCACCGCTTCTCACTTCACTGGAGAAGAGGCTGGGGCTGGGAGGGAGCTAATAAAGAGTGAATGTGCTGCAGCCGCTGTGGCGGCCGGAATCAGTCCCAGCGACACCGGAGCAGTGCGCCCGGGAGGCGGCGAAGGGAGGCGGATCGCCTTGTCCCTCCCACCCGCCTCTCTTTCTCTCTCTTCCTCCAGCTGGTCCCAGAGCCCGGCTCGGTCCGGTCCCTCTGCCCCCATCCCGCACTCTTCCACCTCTTCCGAGTCCCGCTCCTCACCTAGGGCGCCCCAAACTGCCATGGGTTAGGGTGGGGGCCGCAAGCCGCGCGAAGGACCAGCCCTGTGCATCCACCGGGGGGCGCGGAGCCCTAACGCCGCTCGCCGTTCGCGGGCGTCGGGCATGGGGAGAGCGGTGTAAGCCCGCACCCGGGAGGAAGCAGGAGCTGCGGAGACAGGCGCGAGGAGGAGGCGAAGGAGAGGAGCCGTGGATTGGAAGGACCCGAGGGAGGGAGAGGCGGGAGGGTGGGGAAGCGAGGGAAAAGTGAAGCTGGGAGGAGAAGGCGGCGGAAGGTGGGGATTGATGCTTCTGTTTTTTGTTGCCGCTGCTGCCCTCTCGTTGGGAGCCGAGCCGGAGGGAAGGCGGTGGAGAGATGATTGCAGAGTTGGTGAGCAGCGCTCTGGGGCTCGCCTTGTATCTCAACACTCTGAGTGCGGATTTCTGCTATGATGACAGGTAAGGGGGCGAGAGGAAGGGACGGTGGCTGCGTGGCCCTGGAGCCTCCAGCTTTAAGGCTGAAGGGCTTCTTGGAGGAACTGGTTCCGCACCTCAAGGTTTAGGCGACATGTAAACATTAACACCTAAAGCAAACACCCGGTACGCGAGCGCGCTGGGCGGGCTGAGGGAGTTTCCGCTCCTAGTTTGCAGCAGGTTCTCTCTCGCTTCTCGCCTGTTGGCAGACGCTTAAGTTTCTTAGCGGAAATCCCAGCAATTTGGGAAACTGTTTAATGAACGTGTTAAAAAAACAAAAGTCTTAGGTATTCCTTGGTGCAACAAAAGCCCATTAAGCATTTTTTTTTTTTTAACATATGGGCTGGAAGGAAGCAGCCCCCCCTCCCCCGCGCCCTAATAGATCTTCCTTTACCGTTTCCTTTTATTGATAGGACACTTTTATTTTTCGATGTTAAAGCGCACGTTTGACAGTTGCCAAAATAGTTAAAAGAGAGATCGTACTCTGCTTCAACTTTTCTCTTTTGACGTGTGCGGTAGTTTGGGCGAAGATAATGCTGCTGATTGTATCTCCCGCTCCCCAGCCTACTTCACCAATCGATTGGGCAGCACTTTATAAAAGCCTTGGCTTCCATTTCTGTTTGGGCGTTTTGCATTAGGCATTAGTGATTCTCTTCTGCTAATTGGGGAAGAAGACGCCCCTAGAGACTGAAGTTGTCTTCTGCATTTAGGTGGCTAATGAGACCCGAACTGTGTTGTCAAAGAAACTGCATTGATTCCTGGAAAATGTCACAGTTGTGCTGGTGTCTCTACCTATTTTTTAAACTTTGTTAGTGTTTAGAAGCTGATGAAAAGCTCCAATAGCCATTAGGGAAAATTCCAATTTGTGCCTTTCCGGTGACTTAATCTGATTACAATTAAAACAGATGCATAATTAAAATATATTAGGGAGAACAGCACGCCTGGCTAAACTTATTAACCGTCCTGGGGTGTTTCATGCTCCATTGAAATTAAACCATCCAAAAAGTGAGCACAGATTTACTTTGACAGCTTTTCAGCAGCCTCTCTGGGCTATGGAAAGTGAATGGATCCCCAGGGTTAGGGTGAGGCAAAGAGTGAACTTAAGCAAAGTGGTTGATACTGAGGGGAGGTGAAGGCAGACTCTTCTCCTGGTGCTAATTAGCCATATTCTGTGTTCTTTGGTGCATCCAATCTGCAGCTAAAAGCATGTTCATGGATGTGTGTTTTAAATCAGTAAGTCTTGGTTCACACGATGTCTGTTGTAAAGTTTGCTGATAATAGGTATGAGAATATCTGTCAAGTCCTTCATAATGCATTTTATGAAGTGTCTGTCAAAGGCCAATTGATAAGAAAGTACTAGTAAACATAAACTTTCCCTCAACTTTTAAACAATGTGCTGATTTTAGAAGTTACACTATAAGCTCTGACAAATGGTCATGTTTAAGAGTGAGGTGAACCCAGCTGGCTGTCTTTTGTCTAGTTTTGTGTGATGGTGCACCTGCTATTGGGCATTTGTGGAAAAAAGTCTTTGTTTCTAAAGATGGGCGACTTTTCCTTAAAACAAGCTAAGGGATGGGTCTGGCCAGTTGCTGGCTTAGTTGGGAAAAGTTTGAATAGTGAGCACTTAGACCAGTATTATAGAGTTTATATAATATAAATGATATATTATTATCTACAATACTGTCATCATTGTAGAATACTGTGATAAACCAAGCATTCCTGTTGTATGCTCTTCTTGATTGCTGTCCAGTTCTTCAAAGACTATATGTCAGGGGACTCTGTTCTTTAAAATTTAAGGCAAAAACTAGACTAAATGTGCAGATACATTTTGTCTGTAATTTTAATCATGAGTCAAAAATGTTAGAACTTTGTAACTTTGGAAGAATGGTGTGTGATGATAAATTAGTTGTGCTTTGATGGTTGGCATTTGTTATAAGTTCTTCACATGTTGTATATAGGTCAAACTGAGTGTTAAAATTCCTGACTTCTTTTTTTCTAGCTACACAGATGAATTTAGTGTGATGATTTGCCCATATCATCTAATGGATAGCATGCTCAATATGATATATAGACATTATATACCGATATAATATTGAAGGCCTGAAATATGCATTATACTTTGCTATCATTTGAAAAGGATATTTTATGCAGAATTCTTAGCAGAACTACATGTGTAACCACATATTGCTAAAAACACGAAATCTTAAGATTAGCAAGCTTTATTTTTATGTATTCTAGGAATTTTGGGATACATATTAATGGAGTAATGAACTTATTTGTTGCATGCACAGCATATTAAAGTGATTAATTGCCAAGGTTCACTGTAAATTGTGACTTTCCAAATATATTTTTTTTCTCTCTTGTATGTGAAAAAGAATAAGAGCTGGGGAGCCAAGTGGAAACTGACTTCAGGATGATGATAATGTGTTTATTTCCACTGCTCCATTTTAGACTGCAAGGATTGATGTTTAAAATGTTGCTTAAATTGTCCTCTGTGGATTCTGCTGCCCCTCAGAAACTTTTGTGAAATACAGTTGTGTTGCTTGAAGTGAAGAGAGAAGTACTTCCTGAAGAGAGAGATGGCTCTTAAGTCTGACTTCCTTAACTAAATCAAGACTCTGCATTTTAGCCTGAAGAATCTGGCATGTATTTTAAGAGGACTTTATGTTGCTAGAGCTTAAGCATTATTGCTGTGGTACTTCTCAAAGTTATCATTTAATTTAAATATAGTGATCAGGTTTACTTTATAAACTGTATATATAATTACTTTCCAATGTTTGATGTAGCATGGTTGAAATTAAGTGGTAACATGAAACTTTCTTAAAGCAAAATCAATTTCCCTATGGTAAAATTTAATATTTTACAAGAGTTTCTGTGCTGAACTTAAGAATATGTCTATGATGTGTTGAAACAAACAGTAGAAGAGTAGCATTCACAGGATCTGATGAGAAAGCATATATGGTTTCAACTGTATTCTCCCTCCCCTTACTTTCAGTGTGGTAAAATGACTATATTGAATCTTAAATTGTAGTTAGAGTAAAATTGGAATTATAAATATTCAGTCTGCGCCAAATTTAAGTCATGTTGCATGTGACTCCTTGAAGGAAGCTCTCTCTTATTTTCTAGAGAAGCTTGGTGTTTAGTCAGTGGAAAAAACATACTGACCCCAAATTCTCTGTTCTGTCATATATTTGTTGACAGTGATATGGCAGGATTTTCTCTTTTTCCTCTTTAAAAATACTGTTATGAGTTGTTCATGGAAATAACATGAGAGGAGTCAGAGTACTTCATAGCAAACAAAGGTAATCGGTAAGCGTGTTGAAGTCTGATTTCATTTTCCACATGTTATCTCCTTGATGAAATGCCCTTTGATGTCATACAGACAAGTAAATAGAAATGTAGCTTCTGCATGTTTTTAATTCTCTCATGAGTAAAATAGTTTATGAGTTTAAAAACAAAAAGAATCTGAAATTTTGAAAGTCGAAAATATACTTGTCACTTGCCTGAATATTTTTTTCTTACTGCTCATTTTTTGTGTTTGTGAAACCCAGCCAAGATCATTACTGTTACTTATGGGCCTCTTAGTTATTATTTTGTACAATAACTATGTGAACTTTGGAAAAAAAATTTCACAGTAGAAATTCTATTCTGGAATTAATAGTACTCAAAATGCTTAGTAGCACATCCCTGGTTTAGTTTTCATTTGGATATAAATTTGTTTTTTATAGAAACATTATATAAGATTTTATTCATAATGATTTTGCTTGACTATATGAAATGAAGGAATGGAAGATTTAAAGCCTATTAACAGATTTTTTACAGCTTTTTTTGTTTTGATACCGGATGTTGAACCCAACAATGCTCAATCACTGAGCCATATCCCAAGCCCTTTTTATTTTTTATTTTGAGACAGGGTCTCACTGTTTTCTTAGGACTTTGCTAAGTTATTAGGCCCTGGGATTATAGGGGTATGCCACCATGCCCAGCTAAAATTTTTTCCCCTTAAAATATTCAACTATTCCTTCTACTTGGTCTTTTAGTGTTATTGTTAGTTTGGGTTTTGACTAGGTAATAAGAATGCTTTGTCAAATGATCAACCAGTCACTCTGTTATTCTCTTTAAAAAGTTCTCTTTAATAGATTTGCCTCAGGCCAATCTAGTATTATTATCTTAAAAATTCAGTATGTTTAAGCACTGAAGGCATGCCTGGCACTTAGTAAACACGTATTTAGAAAGAATTACTGAAAAATAAGAGAGAAGTTTGCTTTGTATAAAAAGTTGTATCATCAGATAACTATCAGATGAAGCCAGAGAATATGGAAGTATTGTTTTATCCTTTAATTTTCTTCCCAGTTTATAATACACTGAAAAAACCAATGCAGTTGGAAGAATTTATAGTTTATGAACTATTTTATATGCTATTTTTCCCTAACTAAGTTTTGGTTGTTTGAACATATCTATTTGCAATTGGTTCATCTTGCACTTTTGAACAAGTGTAACAATTGTTGGTAAATTAGACGTAAAATGAGGTGAAGTCTGTATGGATTGCTTTGCTTTACCTGCGTTGAGCCTGTCACATGGTGTTTATCATAGCAAATGTCCCCAATACAAGCCCTGATTGGATAATTGCTTGCCAGCCATCTGTGTCTTAGTTGTTTTTGTACACACACATGCATATGTGTAAACACACACACACACACACACATATATACACAATCATTAATTTACATTGTTGGTGCTATGGGCTATTGTCTTGTCATCTGCACTTAGTTCTTCAGTGCTAATGTGCCCCTGTGGTAACACTGAATTCTCTGCTGCTATAATTCTAAACTAGCTACAACCTTTTGGATTACAGCATGAGTTAGGAGCACAGTTTGTCTTCCTAATCTCTTTGTTGATGCTTAACACACTAAAAGCACTTGTTTAAAATGCCCGTGATGGTGTGACTGTTTATCATAAGGCATTACCTCTAAACCAGGCAGGCA